CCATTGAGGTAAAGAGGAATTTTCTGGACTCCAGGGTCTGAAAACTAGATTAGACCAAATCAAGAAAGACCAAAGCTAGGCCAGTAACAGACCTGGTGGGCTTTATTACTTCTGTAAGCCAAAAGGACAGGTCAGCAGCCAAGTCTAGAGGTTTAGCTCAGCTTGGTCAATAGTAAGTCTGGCCAGAGTTTGACTACTTTTTTGATTTGAAATGAGAAAGAACTAAAAAACTTCAACGTAATATTCTATTTTACCCGTTCAGGCCTATCAATCGAATCAGCTTTTTGGATCGGCTGAAGAGAAGAGCAAACATTTTGATGACTTCCGAAAGCTGCTTGAGGTTAGATTTCTTTCAGTAGATCGTCATAAAACTCAAATTCTCTTATGAAGTACAACTTCTAATTTTCAGGAAAGATGTCAGGAAAAGATCTCGAGCAACAAGGATCGCTATAGGGACATTCAAATGGCCGAAGCGGTCAATGGAGCTTACGAAGTGTACGAGAAAGGAATGAGGGTGAGACAACTTTCAAACTACAGTGCACCAGAAAGGATGTATTTCGAAATTTTGAACACGAAGTACCCTTGATATTTTAGCCTGATTTTGTCGAGAGTTTGGAGAAGAACAAGAAAGGTGAGTTTGTGAGAGACCGCCACAAGAAAGCTTTCCCCGAAGCGATGACGCATTTTGAAAATGGTTGGTGTTGGCATTACATTTGAGTTTAAAAAACTGCATTAGGCAATACTGTAGGTATCTACAGTAATCAAGATCAGGAATTAAACTACAATTTTTAGTTGTCCAAGACTTTCTTGATGAGCCCGATCTGATCGAGTACAAGCGCAACTTGCTCAACGAGATGATTCAGGTGATTACTGAAAAACCCCCAGTATTTGGACTATCTGGTAGTCAGCTAATGAAACTTTTAAAGATTGATATGCTAACTTTATCCGAACCCCAAACTTCAGGCTCGATATGAGGACTTGCAACAAGACAACGCCATTCAGCACCTTCACCAACAGGTTGGCGAGATGTTCCAAGGATTGGTGGAAGAGCATTGGAAAGCGTTGAAAGGAGTAAGTGATTAGGCTTTGATACGAAAATTCCTGTGCATCCAGTTTCTAGAATTTCCTACCATTAGACCTAGAGCCAAGCCAGTCAGCTCTAGGATTGGCTTCTGGCCTATCGTTGACCTCGTTCTGGCTCCTGGCTTGGGCCTTGCCAATCCTAGACCTGACTTCTGGCTTGCCTCTTGCCTTACGCGAAGTTGAGACAACTTTATTCCAAAGCCCTTCAGAAATTTGAGCTTTCAGCAAGTCGCTACAATCAAAGACGAGTCGGAGATCGAAGAGGCGATCGATGCCTGTCAGAATCTACTCCGGGGAAAGTACGGGATCAAAAAGGTGGCTTTAGAAAAGCTGATAACTTGAAAACTCTATGAAATCTAAACTTTGTATAGCTCTATTCATATTCAGGCTGAATTCGTTGCCGATGTGGCGATCGCTTTGCCCAAGATCTCGCCCGATATGGTCGAGCATCTGTTAGACAACTTCAGGGACAGTCAATTGGCACAATTCAAGGTGGAACCACTTAAAGTTAGATGTGAGGAAAGTGGAGGCAAGACTACGATAGTCTTATGAAAATTTTATTCATTGGCATATTTTAGAAAACAGTTAGGACGGAGAACTCTAGATGAACCTTATGTTTTAGAAATGCGAGGACAGCTTCGAGATGGAGGTTCGCCACAATTTGAAAGTCGGCGCGCTCAACAAACAAATGGAGGATCTCCATTTGAAGCAAGCTGAAGACAAGAAGAGATTGGAATCGCTTGAAGAGGAAACGAATGCTCAAATCGGAGGGATGAACGAGCAATTGGGTTCGTTTTTTTGAAGTCATACTTGACATGGAGAAAAGTATCGGCAATAGAATTCGAATTTTCAATCTTAGCGCCGACTTCTTAAAGTTCCGATATACTGGGAAATATAAATCAATAACTATGCCTCCCAAACTCAACTTAGTTATTGAATTTCGTAAAGTTTAGTGATTTTGGTGAATTTGCTGACAATTAACTTTGACATTTGACTCATCTCAAGCCCGAATCGGCCCCCGGTTAACCCCCGGAATTTAGCCGGGGGTTGACTGCTGGTCAAACATAGCCAGATTAAAGTCATTAAAATTTAAGTGCGATTTCAAAAACTGTATCTAATTGTTAGCCAAAAAAGCAACCCATTTCTATTTTAGTGGAAGAGCGTCGACTCCGTGTCGAGGCCGAGAGTGGCGGCTCAAACATGCAGGGATTATTGGCGATGATGAAAGCGATGAACGAGAATTCACAAGCGTAAGTAGTAAAAATCCACTAAAGAATCAAGAACCCTAAGTCCTTAATTTCATAAAAGCCATCTTTATCATTTGAGTCAGAATTCTAGTCAAAACTTTTCTTACTATAAGCTTAGCCAAGAAATCTGTCAGACCTGGAATACTTGATTCTAAAAGCTGTCTTAACATACAGTACTTTCATTGTAAATGTAGTTTTTTAAACCAAAGTTGTACTTTTTAGCCAAATGGAGCAAATGCGACATGAAAGGGCCGAGCGAATCGCTCGCGAGGAAAGAGATCGTCAAGAAAGGGAGAGACGATACGAGACAGACATGGAAATGATGAGAATGGTGAGGAAAAGCTAAGCTAATTCTTTAAATTTGAAATTTGTTCACGTACACAACCAAAGCGTGATTCCCAGGAACAACAAGAGCGCGCTCGTCGCAACGAAGTTCGAGACCAGGAGAGACGCGATGACATGAGGGTGAGGGGCATTTGATAGGCTATTTTAGTGCTTTTAGACTTTATGATGATGGGGAACAGACCCAAGAACGGTTGGCAAAACTAGACCCGGACCGGAGATAAATGCCGGTTTGTTCCAGCTTGTCTGGCTTGACTTGTCTGGTCGGCTTGTCAACTCAGATTGTCGATTGTCAACAACTAGTCAGCAGACTAGCATCAAGACTCAGCCCTTGTCGAAGACTCGACTAATTTTAAGTCCAGGACCAGGGTCCTGGACTTGAAACTAGTCGACTAGGCTGATACTATTAGGTTGATGCAAAAGTCTTTTTCATTTTTTTTCGTACTTCTGTTAAAAAGTAACAAATTCACCAATTAATCTATAGTTTGCTCTATAAAAAAAGTGTTTTTTTGTTCAATTTCCATCTTTTTGAATCAATTTCGGTTGACTTTCAAGCAAATTCGAGAGTGAAAAACGCCTTTTTCGTAAAAATCTATAAAAACTCTACGGAAAAATTGGCTGAATGAATTTCTCTGAAATTTTGGCGAAATATCAAACTTTTTTTTCTCTATCTTTTATCTATTGCCACGAAGATAGGTTTTCTTTAGCTAAGGTGTCTAAACCGCATCATCGAGTTAGCCCTTTTTGACTACCCGACTTCATACTCTCAAGAAAATCCAGGCATAAAATATTTTTAAACCCCTTTTAATGTTATTTTGCAGAAAAATAATTGGTTTTTCTAATGAAATCAACCGTAGTTTAATTCGTGCATTTGTTGGCTTGAAACGGCAGACGAAAAAAATGAAAAAGACTTTTGCATCAACTTAATAGTTTGGGGGCTGGTCGAGACCGAACCAGGGTCGCAAAAATGTGAGGCGAGGACTCTACCCGCTGACCACGAAGACACAATTTGTCTGCCGGAAAGACAGTACTTTTATAGTCTACCTGACCCGGTCAGAGGGGTGTCTTGAGACTGGCCCTGGTCTGGCCTGATCCGGCCGAGTTTGACCTAATTGGCTAGGGTAAGATTTTTTCAGGAAATAGCTTTTAAACTCATCCCATTCTCTGCTTAGCCTCCCTACGGTAGTATTCCTCACAAAATAGAATCCTCACTTTAAATCTCATTTCCAGATGCAACAAGAGGCGATGGAACGCCAGCGACAGGCGCACGAGGCCGAAATGGCCGAGATCCGTAACCGACCTCCGCCACCACCACCCAAGATTTGCTCAATTATGTAAAGAGATATTGTTTTGACTCACGATTATTGTGAGATCTTGATTTCAATACAATGATATTATTGCTAAGAAATTTTTTCCAATTTATCTCGCTCTTTTTGATCGTTTTTATCACAATCTTGTCACTCTGAAAGTTTTGAATTCATGATTTTTTGTTAAAAGGTGTTTCATCAACTTTTGATTATAGTTGAATAGTTCACGAGAGAATTTTGCTAAGAAAGCTTTTTTAATTTTGCTTTTTTTAAATAACCCTATTGACTAGATAATTGTTGAAAATTTTGTGCTTTTATGAATCAAAAACTATTTTTTACAGCACCGTAGCACAAATTGAATTCATAGACGTTGAAAACTTGATGTTTTTTCAATTACAGCATCTGTCGAGATTAACACAATGCACCCGATGGGGACAAAGAAATCAATCACACAACCGCATAAAACATTCTCACAAGAGCTTTAACTGTAGAAAATGTCTTTTCTAAGCTTTTCGTTTTGATTCAGAGATTTTGATTGGCAACTCATTGAGCACTTCGAATAGAAAACGGTGAGTTTCTTGAGCTCTAAAATTTTCGTAGATCATGGTTTAAAAATCTCTTGCTTTTCAAAGCGTTTGGTGCTCTAGGTTCAATAAGTTTTAAAAGCTACTTAAACAGTTCCAAAACTATAAAAACATGCAAAGGTAGTGCCGATTCAATTATTACAGTCAGCAAAAAAGGCTTGCACCATTGTCTCCTAGAGGCTTAAAACAAATTTTTTCGCAAAAATAAGCGTTTCAGAGAAAACTTGTTGGCAACTAATTCTACCATTGTGGTCTAGTTTTCGAAAATATTATTCATTTTTGTTGCAAGTTTTTTCTTTTGACCCAAAAAATAAGTTTTATTAGAGACACCCGGTTTAGAGCGCAAAAAAAGTCTTGCACCATCGTTGTATTCTGTTGTAGACTTTTTCTTTTTCTTTTCTGACTTTGTTTTTTGCGCATTAATTTATTTTTTTTAGATGCCCTGCGAGCGATATCTGGACCCTTCGACATTATCAAACATTGTCAAAGCCCGTCAAGGAGGGATGAAAGTGAAGGCCATTTGTGATCTCTTTATCGTTGATCGCTCTACCGCCTAGGCTTTGTAAACGACAAAAACTAGAAAAACAAAAATTTTAATTTTAACAAATTTAAAATGTTGCGCAAAAGACGTTTTGGTGGGTCCATCACGGTTGCGCCGTAAGCCAAAATCGAAAATTGCGTCGACGAATTTTGCGCAAGTTCTTTTGCGCCGGCGAATTTTCGTTTTTGGCTTGCGGCGCAATCTTCACGGCGTAATCATCATGGTCCCGTTTTTGTTTGTGTGCGCAAATGACGCTGCGCAAAAGACTTGTGCGCAAGAATACGTGCACAGAAGACGCTTTTGTGTGTGCGCAAATGGCGGTGCGGTATTCGTTCACAAGTCTCCATTGAACGTTTGGAGAAAATTCAGAGGAGATTCACAAAAATCGCTTTATGGAAAATTGACTATTCTAAATATTCTAGTTTGATTTATGAGGATAGACTTGCTCTTTTTGAACTAAAAACTTTACAACATTGTCGCTTTGTCATTGTTCTAGTTGAAACTTTCAAAATCCTGCTTTGCAAACCGATTAGCCCTTTTTTGTTGACTTTTTAACTTTAACCCGAGATCAGAGTCCAGAAGTGGTTCAATCATTTTGCTGACTCCTTTTGTGTCTAATGCTTCTTTATCAGTTTTTGGCGAAAATCGCCTTGATCACACTTTTCGATTTTAGACGTTTGGGAAAAATTATGCGAAAGTTTAAAGCAGAACAAAACAGAAAAAGATTGAACAAGAGAATTTTTTTTTGTGCAAATCTCCCGTTTTTCATTGTTATTTTTTTTAAGAAATCGAATAAGCTCTTGAAATATTATAATTTGAGGAAAATAATGAAAGAAATGTCATTAAATCGAAAAACGGGAAGTCTTTTTGCACATATATTAATTCTAAAACTAAGGACCTAAGCCAAGCTTCAAATTCCTTTCTTGATCCATCCAATTGCTAAATTCTTTCACGCGTTTGCAATAACTAGAAACCTAACAAACCCTTTCTGGCTTTTCCATCTAAGCAGATCCCACCATAAGCCGGGAGGAGAGAAAGGTTTTGAAAAATCAAGCTAAAAAATCAGGAGTATGGATGCTGGTGGGTTCAGAGGAGTTGAGAAAAGTTACAAATCTGAATCTTATACACTAGTAATTTAACTGTTTCACCGCTAAATGTTCGCCATATTGTGTTCATTTTCAGGGGAAAGAGCTCGACTACCAGGTAGTTCAACGGGAATTCGCACATCAACAACGGCAGGTTGGAAGGATTGAAGCGTGTACATTGTGCATCTATTTACACTATGTTAACTTCAGCAACCTGACTGAATATTCGTTTTAGGACTTCGAAAAAGTCACCAATTTGAATCGTGCCACTTTGGAGATTCTGATTGAGAACTCGAACTCGAAACGAACGTTTTTCCTTCAAGCTTTGGTGAAAAATGATTACAATCGAGAATTGATGAATGTGCTCAATCGGAGTCTCGCAGAAGGGTGGATGATGTTCTTCGAAAAAGCGCCGGTAGGTTGGGAGATGTTGAGCCGAATCGTGTAGACGAAAATTAAAAAGACTGAAAGTAGCTGACTTTAACCTTATTCAAGTTTAATGCTTTGAGCTGGAGGTTGGCTCGTTTGGACTAAAGTGCTTTCTAAAGTGGGTCAACGTTTCTACTAAGGTTTCTTCGTTTCTACTAGTGAGTCAATTTGAAACTTTTGAATCAAACTTTTGAAAACTATCGTAAGTTTGCCTCGTTAGTGTCCAAGTACCCGGATCTTTGAATGCTCGCCAAATCAGACCAACTTGAGTTGGATAAACCTAGTAACGTTATCACGCTAGATTACGGTAAAGTGGGCATGTATTAGACTGAAATGCCGGTGAAAGAAGACAATTGAGGGCCTACGGTAGCCGTGGGGCACGGTTTAGCATTCAGCATTCAATAATCTACAGTGCTTTTTCAGAGGCACGATTTGTGTTTCGAGGAGATGCAAGATTTCGCCTACAAAGTCGTCCATCGGTTGTCGATTCAATTCCCTCCGTCACTGATGCAATATTTGGATGAGAATTTTCAAAGATCTGTGCGTCAGCATCAGGTTTTGAGAAAAATTGAAGCAAAACCAGAACAGATTTTCAGAATGTCTCGTTTCAACATGTCCCACTTGGACATCAAGGTCAAAACCCAGCTCAACATCAACTTCAGAAATGCTCTTATGTTTGAGAAATTAAAATGTTATATTTGAGAAACCCTTTCTATGATTTTTAACCCAATAAAACTTTTGTATAACTTTTCAAAAGCGAATACGAAAAATTTATCACAGCTGAATCTTACCAAAACGGAATGGAACTAAAATTGCATAGTAGACAGATACACACAGACAAACGCACAGACACACACGCAGACACACACATACTCTCTCGCTTATAATATGTAGGATAAAGCAGCTAGGATATGATAGCTTAGGATCGCAGAAATCTTTTGAAGCAAGTACATCTTGAAATCATCGATTTTAATTGAAATCGAATTTTCAGAAACAAACTAAATGATTTACCCAAACTATAAGCTTTCATTTCATCATTTTCAGATAGCAACAGATTACTGTAATTGGATACAATTTCAAAAAATAATGCCAACTACCAAAGAGATCCACAGACATCCTTTGAAAGATCCATAGTTGACTTTTCATCGGACAAATTTTGATCCTAAACCGTTAACGAAGAATATTTGGTGAGAAAAGAAGTAGCAAAAGACAAAATTTCTTCAAATTCTTTGTCCATTTTGATTTGTTTTTGTTTCGAATCATCGTTTGTGACTTGTTTTTTAAAATTTGATTGAATTTTGGCTTTTTGTTTGATTCCAAATGAAAAACGATGTCTTCTTGGTCTTTTTCGATCGGTTTCGATCACAAAATGTCGATCTGTTTTATCGTTTTTTGGCTGAACATTCGAACACTTCGTTTCCCGCATTTTCTTCTTTTGGAGATAAAGAATCTTCTGAAAACAGTGCAAAATTAATCGATTTCTAAAGAATTGAGAATTTTTATTGTTTATGTTTAGATTAAAACTTTTTTTGACTCAACCTGCCAGTGATTACTATTAGGAAACAAGTCTGGTTGGGTAATTGACTCGAAAGTGCTTAAAAACCTCCGTCTCTGCTGTTTTTAAGAGAGATTTTAATCGATTAACCTTGCCTGGGCAGTTAGCAGTTGCCTTTTGAAGGTTAGCATTTGAAACTTCTACATCTTTACCCTGTCAATGCATAAACAAGAAAAGAAGCGTGGAGAAATGAGTTTTCGCGCTAGTATGGTAAAAAGTGTTAGGTTGAGGAAAAAGTAATGTCAGCTTTGAATTCCAGTTCTTTGCTTATTCGATTGTTTTTCAAATAGATATCAGCTAGACACTCTATCCTTTCATATTATATTTAAATTTTACAAATTTTTACAAATTTAACAATATTTTCAGGTACAAAATGCACGATGAAAAGTTTCGACTTCGAGCCGCTCTGTGGTATGATTTTAAACAAGGGAAATCCGCGGTTGAATCGCATCGAACAATCATTGAAGTTTTTGGGGAAGACAACATTAGCGAAAGACAATGCCAAAGATGGTTTCAACGGTGCAAAGATGGAAATGAAAGTCTCCAAAACGAGGAACGGTCTGGACGATTTCAGAGATTTCAGATGAGGATTTGTGCGCAAGAGATTTGTGCCCAAAAGATTTGTGCTAACATGTCCCACCGGATATTTTGGCCGCAATAGGAATTTCGAAAACGAAATAAATAAACATTTATTTTTAATAGTAAAACTTGGAAGTTTAGCTTTTCCTGACTCGTTGTAGCTCTCTTTAGCAATTCTTCTAGGACTCTTTCCTCTTCCTGCAATCGTATTCATTAGATTCTTTTTAAATTTTCACTCTTCCTCTTAAATTTTTTAAAAGTTTTCATTGCTAGCTGCATTTCTGGGTAGTACTAGTTGCTAGAACTAGGCACGGGTAATAAACCTAACAAAAAAATACAAAAAAATGCTCTTCACACCGGTTAGACTAATAGATTTCTCTGTCTAGAGGTATTTCCACATAAATCTCAAACCCGAGATTTAAACTACAACTTTAACTTCAAATAGTGTACAATTGCATACATAGTTTTTCTTTTCCTAAGCTGAACATACACAGGGGGCGCCATAATTGTCCCAACAAGGTATCACGCGTGCAACTCCGATAACTACCTGGCTCTTCTCAAGGATGAACTCTTGCCCTGGGCTGTAAAGATTTTGAAAATCGTATTTGAACTTATCAGCAAGATGGCACAAATCCAAGAAAGTCCAGGAGTTCTCGCAAAACAACTTCCCGGCCTTCATTTCTTTTTCTGAGTGGCCACTTAGCTTTCCAGACCTCAACCCAATGGATTTTTCAGCGGTTGGCCTGGTCTTACAATCAAATTGGTTTTACAGACCCTAGAGCCCAGATAGAAGAACCCTAATCGGTTATGACCGATAGTGTCTTACTATATTTCCTAGGCTTTCATTTACCTCATAACCACAGTTGAAAGACCTCAACAATGTTTCCTGTCTCAATTTGTCATCATCACTCATCAAAGCCAAGTCTTCAATGGGCAAAACCTAAAATGAATTCAATTTTTGTTTAAATAAGTCATTTACCAATAAGTTCTTGTCCTGATCGCTCATCATGAAATATTTTCAACTAAAAGCAGAATTAAAACTGAAATAAAAACAAAAAAAAATCGAATTGACCATCGAATCGACGTTTTTTTTTCTGCTCCACAAAAAATTAACTCAAAAATTTATTAAAGATCGTTTAATAGTTCCATTGCTTGGCCAGAGTCAGTCCTCTGATTCGATCGTGACCCTGGTTGGTGACGGTTTATCGCTTGTGGATGCTCTTGACACTGTGAGGTCGTTCCATATGAGGTAACTATAAAATGATGATTTACAAAGATTTTCTTATCAAACATTGGTTTATTGGCTAAATTTTAGAACTGTTTTTAGATTTTTTACCTTTGATTTGACGAACAAACGCTTGATTTCAAATATGCTGTGTCAAAAAGTGGCTTACGGATTAATTCGCATTAAAACCAAATAATTTTCTACAAAAAAGGCATCTTGTCTTTGCCAATATAATGAGCTTAAAATATCCAAAATAATGGAAAATATTGATAAGGATTGCATGTAAAAGACTGAATAAATCAGTTGTTTATTTTTAGCGACATTTCATACCCATCAACCCAATAACAATGTTAGTTATTAAGCAATTTCCTGCCTGAGTTGAAGGTGATATTTCGAAGGTTCGAGAAATAGGAGAAATAGGATTTTTGCCTCGATTTATTCCCATCTTCCAGCTTCCTCAATATCTCGGCTTGTCGTTGTTTCTCCTCATTTTCTCTTCGCTTCCGTTCTTCCCGTTCTCGCTTCTGAATTGAATTCTTGGCAACTATTTTACAAAACAAAAAACATTTTTCTTTACGATGAACCACTCTTTTATGTCGCTCAGTAAAGCGATGTGGGCCCCATGCGGAACATTTAACGGAAGATCTCTGCGTACTCGTTCGTACTCGTTCAGCGTGTCCCTCTCGCCGAAGCCTTTGTTTGGCTGAAAATTGGTTTTCTTTGTCAAGGTCCTTGTACTCTTTTTGAATATTAAAGCTATCATTAGGGCTGTAAACTAGACCAGGCCCGGTTTAAACTAGGCCAATGTCAGCCTGAAGAAGTTCTCAGAACGTAGCAAAGTCAAGCCAGGCTAGGCCCGGAAGAATCGCTTTTATATCAATACTTTATTCATGTAAGCATGAAAAGGTGACAACGGAACATGGCTTTGAAATAATTCTGGCTAGAATCCAGACTAGTACGGGTTTATTGATTAGTTGTACCGGTAATTATCGACTCACCAGACAGTAAAAGAAAAAGATCCAGTTGTCGACGAGCACTTCGTCAAGCAGCTTAGACAATTCCACATATTTATCATATTTGTCAAAAGTCCTCGAGAAACAGTCGCGTTTTCTTTTCGAGGATTCGATGAGTGCCGAGATTTTCGCAATGCTCAATGAGCCACACGTGAGCACATTGTGCAACTCCTAAAAGTTGAAAAGTTTTGAACTAACTTCATGAAAGTATGTTCTTCGCTAGCATTTTCGACTAGCTTATTGACTTGTGGAAAATCCATGATGTAAGCGACACTAAAGCTAGCAAATTTCACACAAACCTCAGCCAACAACTCGTTGAACACATCTTTAACCTTTCGCGCACAAATTTTCTTCTTTGTTGGCTAAATTCGGCTTTCACTATATGGTCAAAATCTGACCAACTCACATTTGATTTCCGTCTTTGCAGTACTTTGCGCTTGAGCTTTTGCGCGTCCGTCCATTTTGGGTCCTCCGTACGACGAATGAGCTCATTCTAAAATTAAAACAACCCAGTTTTCGGAAATGGATTCACAACAAATCCAAAAACATTCAAAAATATAATAGACAATATTCATTTGAGCAAAAGTTTAGTATTTTTGAGTTTTTCCAAAAACATCCAATCATAGAGTTCTCAATGAACACAAACCTCGTATCGCCAAACATTGACCTCAATTCCATGGTGTTCCCGCATGTAGAGGGCGCACTCGGTGTGAAATTTGTGCACAAAGTACATCATGACGACTGAGTCGATTCGAGCCTCACACCACGTCGCATACTCCTGGTAGATCTCTTCGAAATGTCTCTGCTTTTCGTTTTTGTCATCGATTTGCTGAAACGAGACTTTTCTTTGCACAAAATTGGCTCAACCTCTAGAATTGATTTCAAAACGCGGAACTTGTAGTCCATCTCGCGGACAGCGTCTTCTTCTAGCGGTTTCGAGACATATCGGTCGATCTCTGTGTCGGAGATTTCATCTGAAGTATGTTTATGACAATATTAGCTTTAAATTAAACCGTATTCTGGTGAGTCGGAGCGTGGAAAGTTGATTGGCAATGAAGCACTAAATGGCGAGAATGTTTTGGCCACTCACTATGCTTTTTGTTTTCTTTGAACTATGATCTTCTGAAGCGGTACTTTTGCCTCGTTTTCCCGTTAAGATAAATGTAGATTTCTCCAGTTCGTCTCTAGTTGGGGAAAGGTACTCGGAGAATAGTATAAATGGCTTTATAAGGTTTATCATCTTTCATTCTAGCTCAAATTTATTCAAAAACCATCTAAGATCTAGGAAAAATATGCTAAAATTCAATGATAGAGTAAGAAATCAAAGATCAGTTTGCATATTAATTCGTTACAAAGATGTAGAATTACCGTCAAAGCTCTGACTTTAACAAACCTCCGTGAATCTACTAGATCCTCATCGGCATAGGTTGTTTCCTTTTGGTCAGCTTCGAATCTTGGTCTTATCTTTTCCACTCCCGAATCATCCACTAGATTGCTTTCATTGTTCAATCCAACTTCTTGCGAGGGTTTTGGAATAGGTTTGTAACAAGGCGGTGGTCGGTGATTTTCCATTAGTTCCAGAGAAGTTTCAGCACTTTCTTTTTCCTTTTCCTCTTTGAACGTGTCCAGCATATTTAGAGGACCATTTGATTGCGTTTTACAAATTTCATGCTCTTCCTCCAGATCATCTTCCGAATCAGAAGCAATATCAGAATAATTTGCGGAATCGCTTTTCTAAAGTGAGCCAAGTTTCGCTAGAATTAGTCTCAAACCTGGATCTCGGCAGCCAATTCAGCTTCGAGCTCGGCTTTTGAGACAAGCATGTTCCGGCAAATCAAACACGTCTTCTAAAAAGATAGTGAAGAAGAAATTTTAAGAAACAGTTTAGTTAGATGAATAAACATTCCACAAGCTCGCTTTACTTTCAATAACTATCGTAATCTTGTTAGTTTTTATCCAATCTTTCCATATCTTTAGATATCTGACGCTAATCCTTAAAAAATCTTGATCCTTACAAAATCACAAATGTTCAGGGAGTAAAACAAGACAAAATTACGGTCATTTGATACCGTTTCGAACCTCTAAAGTGATTTGATTCTTTCCCTCGATTATGTAAAACTCTCCACTTGCGATAGCATTTTCTCAGCATTCGATTTTGAAAGATTCAATTGTTTTTTTAATAAAAAAATTTTTAACCAAAGCAATGTTTCCTCTGAAATACTTTTTCTCTTACCTCAATCTTTGGATCCAACACAGCGTGAGCTTCAGCAATGAGATTTTCCTTTTTCAGCAACAGGGTTTCCAATTTTCGGTGAACTTCAGCTTTCCCTAAAGCTTCAGCCATTGACAAAGTTTCTGGAGTCGAAGTCTGAAATATTTTTGTAAAGTAAAGTTTTTTTGGCTTTGTTTTGATTAAGATTAGGATCAAGTACACGGTTACGGTAGATTAGAGGTTACGGTAATCGAGGGGTTACAGTAATCTAAAGATTACGGTAATCTACCGACCACTGCTTTACCGTAAGATTGTCAGATTATGGTCATACTTTAAAGAGCTTACAGTCATGGTCAGAAAAAAGCTTCTCAGTAAGCATTTTATTAACTTTCTACTCCGTAGCCTTACTTTTAAGTTCAAAGATCATTTTTCAAACCTTTGACAAGCTCCGGAAGACGCTAAGTTTGCTGTTGTTAATGTTGTTGTACGTCTCGAGTGTCGAAGTTGCTGGAATCACCTCTACAACGCTTCGAGTTTGTTCTTTCAGTAACTAAATCGATGTTAATTTTAATTTTTGAAAATTTACAAACCTTTGCATTCATCTTTTCTTTTTTCTTTTCTTCTTTCAACCGATTTTCTCGATTCTCTCTGGTTTTTCTTTCATTGTCGAGCTCCACTTTTCTCTGATCAGAAATGATCTAAATTTCTAGATAATTTCGATTCTAGAATAACTAGACTAAAAATGATTCTAACAATTGCTATTTTTTCGACCTGTGCTCTAGCCTTGAACTCCTCAATAGCGTTAGGGAAACTCTCAGCATCGAGTAATCTCTCTAGATTTGAGATCCCTGTTTGCTTTGCTCGATGAACAGTCCTTTCAAAAGAATCTTCATTGTTTCTCTAAAAATTACAAAAGAAATTATCATTAACTAATCATTTTATTGTTGGATTAGATAAAAAGCGACTTTTTACCTTTACAGTCGTTTCAAAGCTCTCAATGGCACGATCCAAAACGACCTTTGTGTTCATCTCTCTCATCCGTTTTGTTTCGCGCCTCAACGCGAGATCTTTTTCGATAAAATCAAAAGATTGGGTGTAAATCTTCTAAATAAGTAGACTGATAATTGATTTAATATTCGATTGATTGCAATTTGCAATCAAATTTAGCTACGAACCATCAACTCTGTCTGGCACTTCTCTTCAATTAATCCCCATTCCTTTTCAGGTAACTCTTGTGAATCCAAAGTTTTTCTCAATTTTTCGATCATCAATTTAACTTTTGCTTGACCATCCTCCAAAGTTGGTAAAGAGTCGAATTTTGTCTGACACTGATTTTTCCAAATTGTAACCCAAGAAACCTTACCTCTCGTAGCTGTTGACTAAACTCGACTTTCAATTTTGAGAACGATTTCTCAATATGAGCACTTCGAAGCATTGTGATTCGACTGTCTAACATGTCCTGTAACAGAAAAAGATGCTTCAGAGGGACTTAGACTTAGACTTAGCCAATGTTTATCTCATATCTATTAGGTTGTCCAGTTATAAATGCGCGTTTTTAAGATAACAACTCTTTATTTTAAAACCAACAGTTTAACAGCTCAATCAACAATATATTCACCATTTGTTAACAATATTTGTTTCCATCTTCCATGCAAAGAATGAATTCCCTCGGCGTAAAAATTGGCTTGTTTTAAAGCAAAGAATTCGGCTAACCATTTTTCGACCTCTTGGACATCTTTGAACCTGTTTCCAGCCAAATGCTTTCGCATTGAGCGAATTAAATGGTAATCCGAAGGAGAAATATCCGGAGAATATGGCGGATGCGGGAGAGTTTCCCAGCCCAACTCTTCGAGTTTTTCCTGAACAATCTTTGCAACGTGTGGACGGGCGTTCTCTTGAATGAACTTTTTGTTTGAAGGATCAAGGCCTTTTTGTAGCAATACATTGTTCACTCGTTCCAGTTGTTGTGCATACGTTTTACCCGTGATTGTTTGTCCTGGTTTAAGCAGCTCAAAATAAACAATGCCTTGGGAATTCCACCAGACAGTAAGCATTACTTTCTTGACATGGAAGTCGGGTTTTGGTGTTGGTATTGGCTCCTCACCAGGTTCTAGCCATGGCCGTTTTCGTGTAGGATTATCATATTGAATCCATTTTTCATCGCAAGTAAGGACTTCATCGTAAAACCCAGTATTTTTTGCCAAACGAAGAAGAATACCCGCCATAGTGACACGAGTAGCTTTATTGGCATTGCTGAGAAGATGAACCCATTTCCCTTGTCGGCTTGTTTTCCCCAATTGATTTAAATGCTCGGAAATTGTTTGTGGGCTTACTCTAAATATTTCTGCAAGTTCGCGTGTAGTTTGACGAGGATCCATTTCGATCGCCTGCTTTAGTACTGCATTATCGATCGCAGGAGGTCGTCGTTGGTGGTCTTCGTCTTCCAAAGATTCATTTCCTTCTCGGAATCGTTGAAACCATCGGCGACACTGGCTTTCCGAAATAGCATCTTCGCCAAATACTTTGCAGAGATCTCGATGAGATTCAACGGCATTTTTGCCCAATTTGAAGTCATACCAAAGACTGGCACGAAGACGAAACTTCGTCTCGGTCATATAAACACGGAAATTAAATCAAAAATGAATTAGTTTAACGTTAAAAACACGAAAAGTTGTAATGAATAAGAAATCTTGAACAGCATATAGAGAATAGGGTTTGATAAAATTGTATAGCCCTAAGGTACGCTGTTCAAGAGCAGGCGCGCATTCAGAACTGGACAACCTAATATTTTCTTGTAGTTAATGTACATGACTAGAGTGTGCTTTTTTCAAATAAGGCAATTACTTGATTAAATTTGCATTTAAGATTTTTCCTCAAGCAATTGTCAAGTGATTGTCAAGTAATGCGCATTCTAAACTGCACCTAGATATTCCCCAATTTGAAATATTTATAAATAAGGCAAACTTACAAACTCATTTTCATCTTTTGTTTTCTCTTAGTCAAACGTTTTTTCACCAATAGAGCTTGCAAAGTCCTATCCAACCGTGAAAAAAACGTTTGAAAAGGTCGATTTTAAAGGTCTTAAGACGTGGATTTCCGTTGTACACCTATCGACGAAGGGATGGGAAATGCAAATGTCTAGAAAACACTCTATAACTGTCATCGCTAACTGCCACATAACTGTCATTGCTTAGAGTTATTTGGAATAAACTCCTCACCTCTAAGGACTTGATCGTTGGATCGGAAATCGAGCTCAATTCACCTTCACTTCTGATAGAAAAGCTTCGTTTCAAGCGCCGTGCCTCGTCCAAATCGTGAATCTAAAAGTACTCTTACAGTACCCTTACAGTACCCTACAATACCCTACAGTAACCCTACTGTGTCCTCAGCTACTGTATTCCTCAGCTATCCTACCCAGCTTATCTAAGGAGAGATTCATCTAAAGAGTGTTTCTATTTTCCATTACCTTCGGTATCTCGGCTCTCCACTTCCTCGCGAAAGCTTCAACTCGTTCCAAGAAAGCCTTCTCTTCTTGAAGAATTTCGAATTCTCTTCGCTTTTCATCCAACAATGCCTAAATTTGATTGCAAATCTAGTGATAAACTCAGTGCTAAATCTAGCCTAAGCCTTATTGTCACTTCTAAACCTGAATTTTTGGCTCTAGAAGTGCTCTCGCTTCACCGACATTCGCCTCTTTCAAAAGCTCTTTCAGCTTTTTTTCTGAAGAAATTCGACCAGACTTTTCAGCAGCTTCAATATTATCGCTGGTTGTTCCCTAAAAACATTAAGATTTAATAAAATCTGAATTATTACTTTCAAAGCGCTCTGGAAGATATCAAAGGCTTTATTCACAGCAAAAGAGATGCTCGCTTCTTTCGTCATCTAAACAAATGAAATGAAATGAAATCAAACAAATCAATCAACTCTAAACAAACAAACAAACGGTTAAACTTTTCTAACCTTTACGGTTGATTCAAGTCTCGGTGCTTCGTTTTCAAGATAATAGATGATTTGCTGAAAAGTGAGTTTGTCCAAAAATTATACAGTTTTCAAAAATTTCTTTTTTCTAGTTATCATATCTTTTAAAATAAAGATAGATGGCTTTTTCAAGCTCAATCTTCCCCATACCTTTGCCGCTTCATTGTAATCGAAATGGTTACGGTAAAATCGGGAAGCGTTCTTCTGAAGAAAGCCAACAACTCTCTCAAGACAACCAATGAAATTTTGATCTAAATAAACTCATTAATTTAAATACGAATTATCTAGCAAGAAATTACAGTCTATAATTAATTTAAAACAAATAATATGGCAAGAAATAACAGCCTGCGGCTACTCACCCTCATCCGTCAACTCGATCGTCCCCGTTGCCCGCTGAATCCCATCCGATGCGGTCGCGCAACAAAAACAATCGATTCGATTCTCAAAACGTTTTTGCAACGATTCAGAGATCTCTTTAAGATCTCTCGACTTTTGGCATTCTATCTAAATCTCGAAATTTCGAAAATAAAATTTTCACTCACCCAAAGCCTGTCGAGAAAACCATTCTCCGTCCATTTTGGCGCATCTCTGATCACGAAAGTTAAACTCTAAAAAGGCAGGTACAGCGATGTTTATATAGATACTTTTGCTAGTTCAGTCTTTGGACAAGCTCCAGCCGTTTCGATAAACAAATGCAAATCGTGAAGGTTGTCACCGCCGATGTTTCCTTTTAAGTTCACGAGCTGAAAAGTGTAAAAGATTATGAACCACAACTTTGACTTGGTTTAATGCTGACGGGATTAAACTTGGCCAGTCATTGTCTGATTCTAGCCTGGTCTTTCCTAGCCTGGCTTATCCTAGCCTCGTCCATTGAACTGCTTTGAGTCCTATCTAAATTTGGTCTGGCCTGGTTTGGTCTGACCTAAGCCAGCCAAGGTCTAAGCCCTAAGCCTAAGCCAAAGCATGATCCGATTTTGGTCTGGTCTTAGTCTGGCTTTAACCTGAGCTAGTCTTTACATGACTTACAGTAACATGGATCTGGTTCTGATCTAATTCTAACTTGATCCAGCCAGTTCTAATCCAGCCTGGCTTGCAATTAGTACGGTTTGACCTGGGAAGGTCAATTCCCTAAAGCATTACCAGAATATCCGAGATCAACAGGCTGAAACAAGCAATCCATGAGGAGATATTCCTCTCCGTTTGTAGATCAAATGTCCCTTGAGTATCCAAAAAGAAAACCACATGATTTCCCTGAAATCTATGTAATTTTATCGTCACAATTTCTCTCTTTTTCCATTTCCTTGCCTCAGAAATCATTTCAACGCCAGAATTTTCATTTCTGAACGAATTTCTTGGTACACTCTTATCACTCCTTGACGTTCACTCAACATTAAAAAGTGGTAAACAAAGAAATCTTGCGTTTTATTTGAAAGTTTACAGAGTCGAAAGTTCAAACTTTCTGTAAAAGCGCAATCCACAAAGCAATAAATCCACAATACAAACTTTGATTTATCTACCTTACTTTAAATCTAAGTCTCACTCACATCTTCAGAAATCATCGGTTGAGTGAAAACGAGAATCCCCTCCGTGCACCGCTCATACCCGTTCTTGAAGGCTCCTCTAT